CTCAATTGTCAACTTGCAAACCTGTGCCAATACCTGCTACGCATCTTCCATCTCTCATCCCAACTCATCTGCACATCCCCTGCGTCTGTCAGCTCACAAACCTTGGCCAATACTAAAACATCTGCTCACATCTTATATGTCTTGACCCACGCTGTCTGCTAAAACAACTAATCTTGCCTGAAGGAGATCTGTTCTGCACAAAACCTGCTAAGAAGCATGCAACACACTGGTATTTACAGTGTTTTGTTCAATATGAAAGGGTTGGTGTAGATTTCGTTAAATCATTTTGTAAGGAATTAATTTCCCAATGCCCATATGCTGAATTATCAACTGCATTTGTAGCACACAAGTCCAAACCAATAGTAAGGTGCACAACCAAACAGGAATAACTGAAAGCAGTCGCATCAAAGCGCTTTAAAGCGCTGACGATTCAAGATTCCAGGTTTCCAGGACTCTAGTTCTTGAATCTTGAATCCAGTATGGGGCCCCCAAAAAAGCTTCAAAGCGCTTTAAAGCACTCTTTGGATCTAAGACCCAAGATTCCCATGACTCCAGATCTTAAAGCTTGTCCAGCAAGGGGCCCCCCAAAATGCTTTAAATGGATCCAAGGTTCAAGATTCAAGATTCACAGGACTCGTGTTCTTCAATCTTGCAAGCTCAACGGCAAGCAGCAGTGTTTATGCTTCTCTCTTTCTCTCTCAATGCGTGCATGAGGGTCGTTGCCTGAGCGAACTTGCGCACGATCATGCATCAATGATTGTCCGCAGATTTGGCGTTGGCCTGTGTGTGTGTGCGCGTGCGTGGGTGCGTGTGAGCGTGCGCGTGTGTGCGTGCGTGTGTGTGTGTGTGTGTGTGAAACGCATTCGCGGTCAATGAGTGCGTGCATGTGTGCGTTCGTGCATGCTTGAAGGCATGGTTCTGCGCAGCGGTTGGCTGAACTTGTGCATGTGTAGCTGTGTATGTGTGTAAACGTGTACGGGGACTTGTCTCTGTTTTCTTGCTCCTTTTTTTCCGTGTGAGTGCGGCTACAGTTTGGCACATGAATCAGACAGTCAGGTGCCCATAGGCTTGGCTACGACAGTTCTTCTTCAGAAAGAGCAGCCCAGAGAGATGAAGATCCGCGCCGCGGCTGGAAGAAAACGCCGGGGGAGTTCTGGGGTGGTTTTATTTTTGGTTGTATTTTGAGGGCGCTCTTTTCAGGTCCTTAAGGAGAAACCAACAGGATCCCGCCATTTTTTCTGGGGGTTCCCCCTATCCACACGCACCCTTTTGCGAATCTAATTCATGGTCTATTTTTGCCAAACATCTCACCAGCATTGCAAACCGCTTGGCCGTGGAAATGAGGTGCGCTTGTGCTCGCGCTCGCGTGCTGCTGCTTTCTCTTCGTTGGCGTATTTCTTGCCGTGCATCCACTCTTCAATTATGCGGCCGAGTTGGCCAAGGCGGCAAGCCTCTTCCATGATTAGGTGAGCAAAGCACTTGACGGAGGCTGAATCACTGAATTCCAGTTTCAAGGATGAAGAACCTGTAGGGACAGCTTGCGTTCGACGCGATTGCAGGAACCGAATCTGCTAATCGTGGGCGTGAAGATTAACCATCAACAGTACGTGAAAGGAGGAGAAGCTATTGCAGTCAGTCGGCTGCATACAGCTGCTTCCTGTTTCGCTTGTGGTGAATTTGAGCATCACTTTTTGGGCCCAAGGCGGGTTTTATGGAGACAGCGGTCCACCTTTGGCAGTCTTCCATGAGAGTCGGCAAACCACAGCCTTAGGTCCACTGACTTCAGAATCAAACACCGACAAGACTACTGGAGGGCTTAGCCCGTATTTGTATTTCCCCGAAATGAAGCCTTACAAGGGGATGAGGATGTTTTAAGAGTTTCCGTCCCTATTGAAGATTCAGTCAAGCTGTGTGCCGCCATTCGCACGCTGAGTCTCTGCTCTACCTGTGGCCAATTCTGCCTTTTTGGCTGGTAATCTTTACCATGTGGAGGCTGGGAACGGTGCACTTTCTGGATGTGTCTTTTTTTCGAGTACCCTTTTAAGGATAGTGCAGGATAACCAAAGTGAATCCCTCCCATGTTCTGACACTTGAGCGCGGCCTTTGATCAAGTCCCATGGGATTGGAGCCACGCAGGTCTCCGGGATACATCTTGCCCGCCCCAAACGTTTGTCGCAGGGTGGTGTGAGTCGAATTCAAACTACTGGGAACAAGGAGAAGTGATCCTTGGCGTTCATTCTTTCGGTTCTTTCGGGGGATCATCCAACAGTCGTTTTCGTTTTTGTAACCCGTCCGCTAACAGCCAGTTCGAGTTTTTTTCAGTTTGTGCAGCCCTCCCACTGCAAACTTGAGGGGCCTCGACTCTCAAACACTTGGCATCCTTGGCGGTTTCCCGTTTGCTAGCAGGAGGGGATGCACGGATTGGGCAACATGTGTCCTGAGCCAAGCTAAGAGAGGCCAAAGAGTGCATTGTTCCTTCACGCCTGCCAAGCTGCTGTGCCATTGTGTGTGTGTGCCATGGTGTGTGTGTGTGGGTGTGTGTGTGTGTGTGTGTGTGTTTGTTTGTTTGTTTGTTTGTTTGTTTGTTTGTTTGTTTCGTTTCGTTTCGTTTCGTTTCGTTTCGTTTCGTTTCGTTTCGTTTGCTTGCTTTTGCTTGCTTTTGCTTGCTTGCTTGCTTGCTTGCTTGCTTGCTTGCTTGCTTGCTTGCTTGCTTGCTTGCTTGCTTGCTTGCTTGCTTGCTTGCTTGCTTGCTTGCTTGCTTGCTTGCTTGCTTGCTTGCTTGCTTGCTTGCTTGCTTGCTTGCTTGCTTGCTTGCTTGCCTGCTTGCGTGTGTTTGTTTGTTTGTTTGTTTGTTTGTTCGTTCGTTCGTTCGTTCGTTTGCTTGTGTGTCTGTCTGTTTTTGAGTGTATACCCTTAAAACACGGCGGGTTTGGAAGGGAAAAAGAGACCCCCTCCCCGCATGTTGGCCATACGCGATTGAAACCGCGGAGTTTTTGTGAATCAGTGGGGCTCCCTCAGTTGGCCCTTATGGCTGACCCAGCCCGGGGGTTATGTGTCAAAAATGCAAACACCAAAACTGATGGTTTTCTTAGGGGTTTCCCTAAATTAGATCAAGGGGCAAAGGGCAGGTTCCCAGAAGCCACGTACCCAAGTTCACTTGCAGAGCTTCGAATTTCTGGCGCCCAGGGTCCACGCGCAGAAAGATGACCCGAGAAGTATGGCGCAGCCGGGTACAGAGCTCACAATTGTGATGCCGTGAGGGCTGAGTGGAATGGCTTGTCCAAAAAAAAGGGGACATAAGGGGATCTGTTTTGGAGGGGGTGAATAAGGATGAGGAAGCCCAGACATTTTTTGAGGCGGGCAACATTTGCGATACAGTCAGTGTGTCTCGACATGGTAAGCCATTTGTGTGGGACGGTGGTGGGACGGTGGGTAAAGGCAGGCACCCGGGCATCCTGGGTCATTTTTGGACACGCACATGTGGCTTGGGTTTGGTCTTCGGACCAAAGTGAGCATTCTCATTTGACCTTTCTTATGTCACTGAATGGATCCAAGCACCCTCTACGACTGTTGCATGCGTATTCGGCCAGACCCATGCCAAGGAAGACTTGCTTTCAAATCCCACATGCATGGCAGCAGGACGGACAGTCCCGCTTGATCCGGCATTGTAAACGTCGTAGCCCGCAGGCATGGCAGGTTTGTTGGGCCTGGCACCTGTTTGCTTGCTTGATTTCACAAGGGAACACGGGAATGCTCCACGAGAACCTAGTGGTTGGTAAAAGGTCATTTCTCTCTTTCCGACTAAGAAGAAGCAAGCGCCAGTAACATGGTTTCAATTGCTTCAAAGTTGTTTCTGATGGTGACGCAGTGGCGAAAAAGTGCGTCAGGCTCAGGGAGACCTGGGGCAGAAGTTGCGCCGGAGAGACCTCATTGGAAGGCTCACTAGGCTTTTCTTTTCAGATCTTTGAGATAGGTCTGGCAGGGCGAGGAATACGCTTAGAGTCTGCAAGCACCACATTCCCATTGTGAAGCCAAATGCTGCAGCTGCTTTGCTTTGCTTTGCTTTGTCCAGAAGAACACGGTTGCACAATCCACAACTTGGCGGTTGTCTAAGCTGAAGGTAGGTTTGTAAAGGATGACACCGGCCGTTTGAGATCAAACCCCCCTACTTGGGAAGGTACCCAGAAAAGCACTAGGATTCCGTCTTTGTTGAAATATGGCAAATCCTGTGAGTACCTGGGCTTCATACACCCTCGCCCGACACACGGGGGATGTGACCAACCTTGTTTAGCTGATGTAAAGTGTTTTTTCAGGTTGATTATCCAGATCATTGAGGCAAACATCCCCCTAACCCGCCAGCGATTTCAGCTAGCGCATGTTAGCGCCAAAAGGAGGACATGGCGACTTGGATGTCGTGATAGGCGGAACAATAAAATGGTGATTGATGGCTTCAGCGGGTCCCTTTATCCAGCTTACCGCTACAGAGCCCATCAAGCTTGCGCTACCAAAAAGTGCCACGAAGGGTTCACACCTGTTTCAAGTTGTGTACTCGATTACCGGAAGGAACCCAAATTTTCGCTTCCAGAGGCTGGGGGCTGGCTTCGCCCAGTCCCCGTTGATGCAAAAGCCGGCTAAAAACTGGTGCAGAACCTTGTGGAACCCTCGCGGAACCCTTGTGGAACCTTACCTCAGGGCCGCCCCGGACCACCCCGGAGCCTATCTGGGCTGAGACCCCAAAGCTTGCAGCTGTTGGGGAAAAAACCATCCGAGTTGTCAAATGATGAGTTAATTGCAAACATTGGCAAGGGCTGCGGGGTGGTGCGAGCACTAAAAAGAGCACCGCATGCTGTTGGGGATATCACCTGAGCTTATGGCATATCATTCGTTTGTTTCTATTGATTTGTTTGCTTATGATTAGGTAGTGTGTGTTTTTCCTTTTGCTGTATTGCTGTCATGTTTGTGGAGATCACGAGGTATTTGTGGCGTCCCGAAATCCTGAGGTGCCTGGTTCAAACAAGGCAGGGTGTCTTTGCTTCAGTGGGCCAGTGAGAACCTGGGTCGGTCGCCATGAGGGGTAAACGACCCAAGCTCCCGACGGGACCGTGCCAGATGGCTGTCTGTTTTTGTCCGCCTGACTTGGGACGAGACGTGGGGTTGCGAAGACAGTGGGGGGAAAGGGGATGACGAAACCCGAAGGGAACAGCGCCAGCTTGTATTGCACAACGTATCGAGCATCAATATAGCGCCAACATCAGCGATCGAACAACTGCATCAGGGCACGCATGTTGTCCAACTTGGGGCGCATAGGAATTTCCCTAGTTTTGGCGTCTAAAGGATCGGTGCAGCCTTTGTTTCTCGCAGTATTGTTCTTCGTTTGCCGATGGGATAGGTTCGAGGCTGTGCACCTTTCATGCCTTCACATTGCAAAACCTCATTATGATTTATGCTGTCAAACAGTTCCCAATACTGGGATGAGGAAGGGAGTGAGGGAGAGGGAGAGAGAGAGAGAGAGTGAGAGAGAGAGTAACGTGGTCTCAGCATGTTCAGATTAACGTTGTGCCTGCATGATGTTGCATCACCAAAACCGTGCACGTAAAACACGTATCGATCTGGCGTTTCCTGGTGGGCGATGGAATTTGAAGAGCAAACAGACTCTGTCCGAAAAGAGAGATCTCACGTAAGGTTTGCAAGGAAGCCAGGCCATGCCAGGCCTGAGACTCACTTGCTTGCTTTGTGATTCTTTGGGTTTTTTTAGGGATGCTTCTTCTTTCTGAGGCACCCCCCATGCCTGATAAAATGACTGGTCATTGTTGGTTTGGACAAGAAGGGGCGGAACCAGAGGTTGAGACCACCCAATTTTGCGTGGCTCATGTCATGTGGGGTCCAGCAATCAATCAAGGCAAAGAGCCCGTGCCAGGTCCTTCGCAGCGCGTCTGCCACAGGAGGGCTCGATTCATCGTTTTCTCAGGGTCCTTTTACCAGCATGGTTTAAGGGGAAACTAATAGACAGCCACCATTTCTAGGGCCTCCTGTTTTGCGTCAGCAACAATCTAATCCCTTTTGGGACCGCCTTTATATTGCTTTGCCCATAGTGGGAGGTTCGATTTCATTGACATGCTGTCCCTCGTGTTAAGCCTTTTTGGAGCATGGACAAGATGTCGATCTGTTGACCCCTTCAAGTGGCTGTCCCCTGCCAGGTTTGGGCCGTTCCAGTGTGCACTCAAAGCTCCGTCGTGGCTGGCATGACTCGCTGGATATGCATTGCTTCTCGGCTGGCAGTGGGTCCTTGGCCCGGAAGTTAGGCTTCTCATGGGGAGCTCTTCAAGATGGATGTTTTTTTGTTGCCCTTTGATTTCCCGGGAGAACAGAATGAGAACAGAATGAGAAGAGTAGCAAGCCGTCCCTTGCGTCGCGCTCTCAAGCCGAACGGTTGACCATGGAGGGTCCATAGATGGAAACGTAGAGTTGAGCTTCCAGACTTGAGCTTGAGAATTCAATTTGCCCTACCAAGCCACCATTGGGTTCCTTCAAAAGTTCATCATAAAATGTGGTGCCGGACGCCTGCCACTCTTGCAGTCAGGGCATCAGGTAATGGGCGACTCAGCTCCGCGAGTCACAAGCATGCAGCATCCCTGCTTTGTCCTGAAAATGGCGTGGCTTCATGCACTGTCTTTGTTAAGTGGGTTGCATATATTGGTATGCTACACGACCGCAGCAAGCTTGTTCAACGCACAGGTGGCCGTTGGTGACTTTGGTGACTGGCTTGTACGGAGTAGGAAACGGGCGGCATGGTGATACACATAGAATGCAAGGGACACAGAGATACACAGATGCTTTGAGGCATGTTTCAAACGATGACCGGGCAAGGGACCAGGGAACTCATTGACGTATATTTGCGAGGTGTTTGGTTACCTCACATGATATATGAGGCAATCACGTGTTGCTGGACGATAAACTGACAAAGCGCCTTACACCAGCTGGGTGTTGGATTGAGCATTTTCGTCTATGTGTGTTCCGCCGAACTTCTGGTTGCCATTAAACACACTGAAAGTCAGAGTGGTGTCAGCTTTGTCGCTTAAAGCTGAACTTGCCTTCCAGTCCAGTTCAAGCAGTTGTCTACATGTCCCCTTAAAAGGCACCTTTGGGGCCAATTCAACGTGAGTTTTCTTTTGGCATGATGTTCAAAGGGGAAGCATAGGCGCGTAGGGAGCTCTGTACATTCGAGGTTACCTGCAAGAGCAACTGCGGCGGCTAAAGAAGGGCTCCGATGCCAGCCGGGCCGTGATCCTGGCAATCCGATTGCTTTGACACCTGTTGATGTTACACTTGTGACCCAAGCCCAGCTTTTTTTCAAAGAACAGCTTGAGGCGCCGGTCCAAGATCTACGCCCTGAGCCGCTGAAGCCATTTTCAATCCGCACGCCTTTGTAAAACAAATGCCGGCTCTTGCCTCGCCGGCACTGAGATAGGAATTGGCGCTTCCGCCGGACCAGCATGCGACCTGGCTTGGGCGCTCGAAACAGGGCACGGTTCAGCAGCACCCCATTGCCCTTTTTGTTCTGCGGCTTGACCAACCTATCAACCCCAAAAAGTGCAGCCTTTTTCTATTGGGGTTGATGAATTGGGGAAAGACACGAGACGCATGCCACACATTTGCCCGCAAGGCCCCGCAGGCTGGTCAAGGGTGTCAGCGCTCCACCTGACTTTCCTCTGAACAGCTTGTTGTGGAAGCTTCAAAGGTCCTACAGGCTTAGAGGCCGACCCAGCAGATCAGACTTGAAACAAGCTGCGACGAGAGCATTACTCCGCCACGACTCACCTATTTCAATTACTCAGGCGACGCTGCCTCCAAGCCAAAAAGCAGACTGTTGTGTGCAGGAACTGTCGTCCAAGTTTTGGGTGCCTTTAAGATGCTCAGGGCCTCGGGTGTTGGAAGGGGGAAACACAGGGGGACACCATCCACCTCAGGTTTCCTAGTTTGACAAGTGTGTGGGTGTTTGGGATAGTTTTCAAGGGAGGCCAAATGAAACTGGCCATTCCTGGCCTCCTGAATTTGACAAACCAAGCAGGTTCCACTTTTTCGCCCCGCTTCAGAGAGAAACGTTTGAAGCCAGGCTTGGTAGCATGGAATTGGAGCCGTGCTCCGCAGTGTAAAGCCCGGGATGTGCAGAGAAGCGCCCCAAACCGCTTCCCAGAAGGGCCATTCCAGTAGGTGGTTCTACCTTGCAGCGTTTATAGTAAGGCCTAGAATATAAGGTATGAACTCTGGCCGCTCAGTTGAGCCACACTCAAAACCAGCGCCTATGAAGGCTAGTGAGGCACAGTCCCAACCACAGGCACGGCTGTTTATTGGGAGGTGCAGTCCATAGAGGGGATACGAGATTGACATTGTTTATTTGCCACTGGTTCCCGAAGTGTGCTTTGGTCGTTCTTGCTAGAGCCACACTTACAAGATTATCTCATGTAGGTCTGATTGACTGCAAGGTTTCCATCACGCAGGCTAGGAATTGATCAAGCTACTTCCGCTGTTTAATATTGTCGCTCGAAAAAGGAGCTTTGCTGCCACTCCTTGCCGAAATTTGGTTGGGGTCGTTCCCAAGAATTTGACTTAGAGTGGCCGCTCTTGCAAGCCCTTGGATTCAACCGTGTTATTATTTGATGGGTTTGGAAGTCCCTCAAAGGCCTCCTGTGCTGAGTAGTTAGGCCCATTTCATGCGGATGGCTTGAGGAGTCATAGCCAAAAGGGCCAAAAGTCTGGCTGTAGTTGGCTTGTGTCACCATTGGTTTGCTTCTACTGCATCTTTGGTTGGGGATTCACATGAACTCTCCCAAATGGTTGGAGCCAACCCAAGGGTATCATCCAACCCAAGGGTACCCCGGTTTTGGACGACTCCTGAGCATTCTGTGCAGCCTTGATATTTCTTATGAGTTTTTCCGATCAGGGTCATCCTCAAGTGAGGGTTCCTTTTGCCCCTGCTCCTCCCGTAATGTCAAGTAGCAGTGCAAGGGGATTTCGTGGGCAGCCTTCACATGGGTCTGTAGCTCGCCTGTTTTGCAGGTGAACCACGCTGGCGCTCAACATTTGGGATGGACACCGTGATGGAGAGTTGGGTTTTAGGTTGCCTGTTTCTGCGATACCAAGGAAGTCCCTAGTAGGGGACGGGAATTCCACATTGGTATCGCAGAAAGGGTGATTTTCCACAACCATGCCGTGATACCATGGTGTCCCAAAGCGAAAAAACGAGCTAGGAAGGCAGCTGAGGGAGATGGGCTTAGGGCTGTGAAGTTAGGCATCTCAGTAATCAGGAGGCCACTTTTGTGGCTTTCAAAAACCCGGATCGATCCGATTGTGAACCTTGAAATGGCTAGTACAGTGGTGGGGAAGATATGGAAACGGATTTAGAGCTGCCAGAAAAAAATGCTTGGGTCCTGGGCGACTGGATGACTATGAAGTTCATGGAGGAAGGACCTCAGCTGTGAACCCTTCTTCGCACATTGGTTCCTGGTTTCAGCTTGGCTCAGCTTCTTGCATGACCGATTTGGTTTGTTCAAGTTGAAGGTTCCAGTCCCTTAGTCCAGAGAAAAAAGGGGCCTCTTCCGCCTGAGCTCCATGAGCGTGTACTTTCTGGAGCTTCACAGAAACATGGCCTTGTTGTGGAACGCTTGTGCTCAGGATTCTGACATGTGCGTGCTCTCTTCGCGGTTGCCAGTGGCCACAAATGCGTTTGCACCACTGAATGAATTTCGCGGAATCTTGCATGCGGTTTTGGACATGCCTCAAGTCAGCGCTCTGGAATTTGCCACTTGCTGTGCTGGCTTCAGAGATTCGTCAAGTGAATACGAGGAGACACGCAGCAACTGTATGTAACAAACAGCGAGTGTTGGCCCTCAGAGCAGCTGCCGCCGCGAGATACCTGAGGCCGGCTGAAGGTTTGAGAGCTCTCGCCCAACAGCTGAACGCCTTGGGGACTCGAGCTTTTGGGTGGTTCGGAGCAGTTTTCAGGGAGGGTTGCAGAGGGTTCCGGAGGGTTCCGGAAGGTTCGAGGGTGTTTTGGGGACTGTTGGGGATACCACCTGTAAGATGCGAGGATTTTCGGGTACTTGGCTTGCTGAATGTTGATTGTTTTCATTAAAATCAATCCAAAAGGGACATTGCTACGAGTTATACCCAGCAGTGGCCCCTAGCAATGGCCTCTTGGTCCGACAGAAGCTTCCTCTTAGTGGTTTTGCCGCACACTCTGAACGCGGTCGGATGTAGGCGGCTTTGTGGCCAGTGGGTTCTAGGAGATCAAAGGGTAAGAACCACGCCAGTTGTTTAGCGAAGCTCTTCTTCCCTTTTTGAAACCTGGGTTCGCTACACAAATGCTACGTTTTTCTACCAGGATCGCTGGTTGCGCCTGGGAAACTGGCCAGCGGCACGCTCGTCCACCCAAGGCCATGGGTCGTGGCGCCCCAACCTTTGCAAGCACTGTGCCGGAGACCAAGCCGCAGGGCAAACATGGGATTCACACAAAGGGCAGATGCATTGAAAACATATGTTCAGCTTGTTCTTCAGCTTGCCAAGCGGTCAGGTAACCCTGGATTGGTGGTTTGGGATTTGAAGCCCACTTTGAAATCAAAGGAAGGTACCCCTAAACTGTTGTACCCTACCAATCCAAAGCTTGGCACAACTCCTAACCTCCCAAAGACTATCATCTTCTGTTTTGGAGTGCCAAACCACCCAGGGTAAGGTGAACGGCAGACAACTCCAGGCCTGGGTCAAGCCACCCCCCCGTTCGGAGGCCTCGGACCTTGAAGGACACCTCGCTGCCTCCCATTGGCGAGGCAACGGGGAAAAGTTCTTTCTGTCACCGGGCATTTGTGCAAGGGGGGACACCCGAAGGTGGAAGTGCAGAGGCCACTTTTGGAAGGTGGACCTCTTAAAAAGGCATCTCATCACTTCCATGTTCGTGGGAGGAGGATGAGAGCTGGTTTCAGTTCTTTTGGTCAGCCAATGAATAACCTGCAGGCGGTGATGATTTCTGCCCCGCCAGAATTCCAGCATCACATGTTTGTCCAATGCGTTAATAAATCAACCGTTTTCTCTATCCCATTGGAAGCCAACAACGAATCGGGACTTGAGCGACAGCAGGGGTGGTGACCCCTTGAAGGTTGATGTTCTCAACTGCCAGTCGCATCTAGACTGGTCATGCCAATCTTAGCTTGAATTACGCAACCACGTGCATGTACGCGCACACACACACACACATGTAAAATAAATGAATCGATATACTATTTTACTATAATATTATGATATTTACATATATATTGTTCTACACATATTACATATTATAATGTGTGTACATATAAGACAGGTTGTTGAGTAATTGACCCATCAACCAGGCCTGCATACCAGAACTTCACATGAGCCGCGCTCTGCATGTAGAGAAATTTAGTGCGTGTTGGAGTTGTACGCAAACTTCGGCAGGCCGACCGCCGACCCAAGCGGCATGGAAGGCAGGGGGACCAGCTAGTCCAACAGGGCGCATCCGGCAAAGACCTCCCAAGGGACCCGTGCTATCCGATTGTCCAACTCCAAGGGCGTCCCCTCGTGCCATTCTTTGTCGTTGTGCTTTGCCTAATTTTCACAGACTCAAAACCCGGCATGGCCGCCCCCTTTTTGAGGCAGACCATGTTATTGCCGCATTTTGATTGTGACTCAAGACAGGTTGGGCATCGCATCCGTCGCCAGGTACTTTCCAGCAGAGTCACCGCGCCCTGTGGCTGTGTTGGCCTCAGAAGTTCATCGCTGCACTCGAAAAAGTCGGCAGCGAAAGATTTGCATGGAGACTCCAATCGAAGCACTTTCTCGAACATGCGTCAGCATAGCAGGTTCCGTTCCCAGGTATGAGGCTGCCTCTTTGAGTAGAGGGCTTCCTTGGACAGAGCCCGTTTGCATGTCTAGATTCGACCCGACAATGAGCAACAGGGTGTTTGCACGTGGTTCCCCAATTTTCGCCCACCTATGCTCTGGGAAATCTCCTACGTGATCTTTACTCACAGATATTCTTAGCGTGCCACCTGATCCGTCTGATCCCATTTCTGCAGTTCTCGGTTCGCGACCTGGCGAAGCATTCGCCATCTCTGTAAGGAGAGCCCACGCGTGAAACACTTTCAACATTTCCCCATCCCTGTAAGCATTCAATCATATTCAAGCTCTTGCCAAAAGAGACTGGTCTATGAGCTGAATCATTATACAAGTTATTGACACACACACACACACACGCACACGCGTACACACACACACAAACACAAACACAAACACAAACACAAACACAAACACAAACACAAACGCAAACCAACTTGTTCGACTTCTTTGTGTGTAATTAAGTTTATGAGTTGGCCTGCGGTGTTAGACTTCAAGTATATCTTACGAATCGATTCCTGCACCG